CCTTCCCTCTAGTCTTACAGTGCTAAATTAGGGATGACTAGCGCAGATAGCCCTAGTGTAGCTTTGCGCGAAATTCAAAAACAAACAAACTTATTCGTTAGTAAAAGAGTAGCCCACGAGTTAGTTGCCTTCCCTCTAGTCTTACAGTGCTAAATTAGGGATGACTAGCGCAGATAGCCCTAGTGTAGCTTTGCGCGAAATTCAAAATAAACAAACAAACAAACATAAAGAAGTATAGAGTATACAGTTTATATGTTATACTTTGCATTATTTCGTATATAAATATAATCATAACACGTACTTAGTCATTAAATTTATCTAACTTTATGAGTGTTACTGTTCACAGTAAACTGTGCAGATATATTATTAGTATATTACTAAAAATACCCCTTTCCTTAAAACTCTAAATGAAACGGCCACGAAAGCAAACGATTAAAATATTTTACTATTGCTCCTCAGAGCCACAGTTCGGCACTCTAACCACTGAGTCACGCCCGGCCCAGTCCATATTGTATCAATTGTTTTTACTATGCTTTTTATGTGTTATCGGTAGATTGATTTTACTTTGTATTGGTTTTCATTAGATCTATTGTGTTTGTATTACAACATACAACGCTAGAATCCGGGATTCGATTCCCCGCGTTGTACACAAAAGATAACCCAATGTGGCATTGTCCTAAAACAAACAAACAGATCTTTATATCTTGTATACCTAATAACGTATATTCAATTTATAACGAGTCATGTTATGTTTTTAAATAAATTTACTTATTGTACATGAGGTGATGACGCTCTCACAAAAAATACAACCTGCCGAAGGTCAACCACAAAGTAATAACAAACTATGTTCTTAAATTGCTATTTCTCGTTTTTAAAATTAAAAACTCTCTACGGTAAAATATATCTTAAAAAAAAAGTACTTCGTCAACGTTATTATCTTGCAGTAATAGAATAGCAAGAAAGTAATTTTCTGCATGTGTTTTTTGTTTTAGTTTATTTCACACACTCTCGTTGCATGAACGATGCACGGTAAACACACGTAGATAGGCTTCTGTCTAACGGTAAACACACGTAGATAGGCTTCTGTCTAAATTTACCTTTTAATATGCCGTTAACGCGACTTGACGGTAAACACACGTAGATAGGCTTCTGTCTAAATTTACCTTTTAATATGCCGTTAACGCGACTTGCAATAATTGTATGAAAACGATTACTTGGTGTTTGTGCCATTCACGGGCGCCCCCAAGGGGGTGGGGGCAAAGGGGGTAATTGCCTCCACGTGGAAATGAGAAACATAAATCTTTCTTTATTCATTCGGCATATATATATATATATATATATATGTAATTTTTTATTTAACTTCACAATTTCAGACAACCTACCCCCCCCCACCAGGAAAAATTTCTGCGGACGCCCATGGTGTCATTTTTGTTTTGTCTGTAACATCCGTGGAAAAAAAAGAGATAAGAATACGTATAATAAACACATAGTAATAGCCCAAGCTCAAAGTGAGTCCTAAGCCTACAAGCTAGGCATTTCGTACGATTACAAGTTAGATATTGACAACTCGTCTCAACAAAATCAGATAATTTAATATTGACAGCTTGGTTTTAACCCTGAACTCTCTCTCTCTCTCTTCACAATGTACTGAATATATAATTACTTCTACCTTTCTTTTAATTCAGTTGATTAAAACTGCTGCAACTTTCTCAGTATTGATAACTCTTGTACTACAGTTACTGACATCTTCAAAATGACAACTACTGATAAGCGCGCGCGCACACACACATCATCCTTCACTTTTTTGAGAAGCAGATTATGATCTATGAAAGCTGTAGTTTTCGTTTCTTCGAGTTACGTGCTACTTGTGTTGTATATCAATCTATCATAAATATCATAGAGTGTTTGTCACGTTAGCTAAGTACGCAGCCATCTAATACTATAAAACACAAACTGTCTGTCTCTCGGTCACCCAATGATGTCATAGCACCTTATTACGTAATATAAGTAGTTTGGCTTCCTGTCAATTAGAAGCGAGTGGTCTACGATTGATCGAAAATTAAAGATATATTTGGACTAAAATGTACAAAAAATTGCACCATTTTCGCAATATGAGAACGTACTTCTGTTAGTTCGTCGAGTTACGCCAGAAAGGACGTAAATATACTTTAATAGACATTTTATACAACACATTAAAAGCTTAAAGATCATACAATAATACTAGACGATTATATATAGTGTGTCTTTTGTACTAGACACTCTGAGATGGTGAAAAATGACAAACCAAGCGACATACTTAGTAAGAAACATCAAATCTAGCGACGCATTCAAAATTTGGGGCAAATATCAAAATTCAACAGAGTGACGGCACTGGTACTATAAGTGTTTATAGACAAATGAAGAAATTCACACATAAAACTTTACCACATAAATGCCGCTGTCTGAAATGGGGCTCAGAGGGATGACAGTTCCTTTCCGAAAATACCTTTCCCTTTGCAATGCATAGTACTATCTCCCCCCCCCTTACGCATATGGTAACGTCATATCATTCCTTACTCCTAATTACATTCTTGTATACTTCAAAGAAGTTTAAAAAGCTTCCCACGCACACACGACACTCTTTAATTATATAGATTGGCGTTGGAGTCACGTGGGAAACTAACGAGGAATTATAAAACATATACAAGGGGAAACCGAGAAGTTCGTTAGTGAAAAGATTAGGATTTACCTAGCATTGCCTTTTTAATTATTCCTCTTATGTCACCTGTTTCTCAATCTAAAAGTTGATCGCTTTGAAAACTGATATCGTGCTTTTCACTAATAACATATTAATCAACATAAGAAGGGACCAAGAGGCGCTCCTATTTTTTTTTTACTTGCTTTTTCCTATATAAAATTCTAGACAGTTCTCACATTTAATATAGTTGATGGCCCTTGGGCTAGAAGGCTTAGGATATTTGCAGTAGCAGATAGCTGGCAGATTATTTTATGCCTGGTTTATCAATAAATCGTGCAGAGAGATTAGTGATATTTCTAGATGCTAATATATATTTTGCGTGTAAATTTAATCTGACTAGAAACAGTAAGAATATAAGAGATACGAGACTGATCTTCTCGTAGTTTTTATTATTATTCTTATTATTATAAGGAACTGAATAATTACAACCCTGTCAACCGTTAACGTGTTGGCCCATAGTTTTATCAATGAATCAATGTTTAATAAACTACATTACAGAGATTGTTAGAACTATTACAAATAGCTTTAACAATAAATAACTAGGTAGTTAGGGCACTCGACTCACAATCTGCGGGTCATAGGTTCGAATCCCCGTCCCACCAAACATGCTTGCCCTTCCAGCCGTGGGGGTGTTATAATGTGACGGTCAATCCCACTATTCGTTGGTAAGAGAGTAGCCCTAGAGTTGGCGGTGGGTGGTGATGACTAGCTGCCTTCCTTCTAGTCTTTCACTGCTAAATTAGAGATGGGTAACACAGATAGGCCTCGTGTAGCTTTGCACGAAATTCATAACAAATATATAGTAGTACCTATATATATAAAGGTTAATGTGAGTTAGTTTACTTGAGACTCTGATTGCTGAGGAAATCCCGAAAACCACGACTAACCTGAACGTTTGAAAATGAAAGCCACTTGGTTTTTTGCACTTCTTTCGTTAACCGAATAGAAAGATGAACTTAGATAATATGCTTAAAACACTCGCTAGCCTAGCTATTGCTTAGGAGTCTTGCTTGAAGTATCATCTACAGATTACCTGAAAGATTGGATAAAGGATTCACATTCTTAACTCTGAAGAACAGATTAACTGAAAGACTGGATAAAAGATTCACATTCTTAACTCTGAGGAAAAGATTAACTGAAAGATTGGATAAAGGATTCACATTCTTAACTCTGAGGAAAAGATTAACTGAAAGATTGGATAAAGGATTCACATTCTTAACTCTGAGGAACAGATCAACTGAAAGAGTGGATAAATGATTAACCATTCTAACTCTTAACGAGGGACAGATTATCTGAAACAACCGATAAATGATTCGTCATCCTAACTCTTAACAAGGAACAGATTATCTGAAACAACCAATTAGAATAATGAATCATTTACTCTTAACGTGGAACAGATTATCTGAAACAAGTGATAAATGATTCATTATTCTAACTGTTAAAGAGAAAGGGATTACATTATACAGCGGATACTGGATTAATCATTTCTAACCCCAAAACATTATCGTAATCAACGTCTCGAATCTGAAAATTACAGCGTCTTGTAATAAAAATAAGAAACTCAATAAAGATCGGGGTTCCTATTGGCAGAACAGCGTTAACCGACATTCACAATACATTCGAGAGCAACGTTGGTGTATTCATTGAGAGGGAGATTAGCGTATAATAAGGTGATGTCAGAACTGTTCATAAAACCAAAGGGTTAAATGTTTTTAACTTTTGAATGACACCTGTCGATGTTTTTATAAAAGTTGAAGCAAAGTTAATATAGGGAGTAACTACCCAAGCAAGGCATTTTCTAAAATTATAAGTGGAATTCTTACAGACTTGAATAATGGTCAGATTTATGAACCTTGGGTGAATCATGTGCATTGTTTACCTTCAAAAACTAAATAACTCATTTGTTAATTGCTTATTCACATGTAGAAAATGTTTGTACACTTGTTTCTAATTATAGAAATATCCGTCTTTGTTTTTCTCCATCATGTTTTCATTTCGCGATTTTCCCACGCTCCAAGTTTGTTCGAAGTTCTGATACGAGCATACAGACATTCATTTGCTTTTGATTTTTTTTCAGTACAAGATCTCAAGAAGGATTCTCATCCACTGAAGCTACACACTGACAAAACTGGATCCATAGATTACACTCGGTACGTAAAAAGGTGAGTTGTGTTTTAAAAGTGACAGCATTGAAGCATAAGATACCAAAACGTTACATCCCATTTTTAGCCGCGGCATAGCGGCTCACAAAACGGCTCTGAGTTTTTTGTTGTTTTTTTTAATCAAATACAAACTTTTAGCTCATAGCTCCGTCATTTCTTGACCGATTTGAGATTTATCTACAGTTTTGGACTCAGGAGGTCAAACCCTTTCGACTGATGTATTTGACCATAATCAAGGTCTCGTAGATTAATTTACTGTAATCCTGCCTAAAAGAATTTCAGTTTGAAGGTAGGCTAGTAGAAATCCTGATGAGTAATAAAATCAAGTCAGGTATACGCACGCCCCACGCTTGGTATTTCTGGCGCACAAAAATATAGCTAAAAAAAAGGGGGGGGAAAGGTCTCGCTGATTAATTTACTCTAATTCTGCCTAAAAGAATTTCAAGTGCCGCGGCTATTGAGGATTTTCTCTTGTTATATCATTCGACCCTACTTAAAATTTAAGTAATATAAAAAGAAACTACTATTAACCTGTTACCTTAAATTATATTAAGTGACATAACGTTACAGTTGATGTTAATTTGAAAATCTCGACACTGAAACTAGTGGTGTAAATATATTAAATAACACAACATTATAGTTGGTTGCCAAAATATTAAAATAACACATCGTTAAGCACAAGGCTACACAACGGGATGCCAGTTCTGTGTACACCACGGGTATCGAAACCAGGTTTTTAGCGTTATAAGCTTTCAGACTTTCCGCCGAGCAACTGGGGAGCTTATGGTTAATGATCTGAAACATTAATGAATACGACAGCAAGCCTGCTGACCCCAAAATATTAAATAGCACAATATTATAGCTGATGAACCAAAATTATAAAATAACACTATAACCAATGACAGAAATATGGAACACGGCATTTTAGCTGATGGACCAGAAATGTGAAAGGACACTATAATTTAGCTGATGAACCACAAATACTAACTAACACAACATTCTAACAGATGGTTTTAAGAAAATCACTGGAAACAGCATACTCCTGGATAACTTGATATATATGGTCAAATAAACTGTACAATTGAAATAAATGAATAGGCGGGAGAAATTTTGTAACCATATTAAATGTTTTATAGACACGTGTATGATAACTAGTGAGATAAGACATTGCCCCAATGCTTTACAAAAACAAACTCGTCTTAAAACATCAAAGTTATCAATTGGTATGTAAAATATCATATTATAACTTTAAGTTTAGAACACTAAATAGAAATACGTGCTACAACGTTGTAGAAAATATCACTAAGGTTGTATATATATATAACACCGACGGTTTTCAGTGTTAAGAGTCTGGGAAAAGTTTCAACATTGTTCAAACAAATGATTTTTTTTCTTGCTTATCAGGTTTGCCAACGCAGCGGAATGTGGGAGTAATTACTGCAAAAATGTAAACTACCGAGAACATTTTCACTGCCTGGATTGTAATTCAAGAGTAAGTTTGGTGTGTGTGTGTGTGTGTGTGTTTTAATTAAAATTATCCAAATTTTTGAATTTACAGGAAAGTTTCCCAAGTAGTCTTGGAGTAATAAATAAATCGAATCTTCAGAATTGAAACAAACTTATTAAAAATGAAAAATGCCGCCCGTTTTGACCCAGAGAACACGCTGAATCACATTTACCTAAAGTCAATATTGAAACAAAATATATTAAAAGGGGGACAATGTCGCCCGTTTTGACATAGAGAACACGCCGAACTACTTTTTTTTCATAAAGTCAAAATTGAAACAAAATATATTAAAAGGGGGACAATGTCGCCCGTTTCTACACAGAGAGCACGTAAAAACCACTTTTTTTGATAGTCGAAATT